CTGAGTGAAGGCAAGCAGGACTCGACCTGACTAGTATTTTATCAAGTCTGTCACATTTGAAAGGTAAGAGCTCCACTGAAGGAAGGGAGAGGCCAAGTAGTAAAGCTTCGGACCACACCCACAACTGCAGCCTTTCAAAGGAGTGGTAGGCGGAATCACTCGTGGGTGTTCAAGGATGGCAGCGTCAATATTTAATCATCTGCTGCCTCATCCAGGAAGAAGGGGGAGATCAGTTACTACTGTACTTTGATTTTGTTCAGTCCAATCACCATGTTACAAAAATAGCAAACTGCCATAGAAGAAAATAAGGCTCCTGTTTCCAGCACCAGTTATCTGCCGTGGTTCACCTTCAGGCCTGTGAACACTGTAACCTTACCCAAAGAACATAAGGGAGCAAAGAAAGGTCTGACGTAGTAGCTGGGACCACCGTGTTGTTCAGGCTCAGCTATTCCTGTGTGGTGTTATTTTCCTCCCATTTCTAGTATTTCATCTAACCATAAAGATTTTTAGGTCTAAATTATATGCACTTAAGGAGCATGCGCACATACCTGTTTATAAAATTCTGACTGAAGATACATGCCTATCAACCAAGTGAGTGTTACATAGATAGTAGATGCAAGCTTGCAAAGCCTAATATAACTGGTGCAGCAGCCGTGTGCCCTTGTAATTTGTTCCTGTGTCCCTCGTGCATCCCCAAGCTCTACACAGGATAATGTCACAAACCATTTTAGCCCCATGGCTGCTGGCTTTATCTGACTCCCCCACCTCCCCACGCAATGCCCTGCAATACACCAGGTGCTTTAAGATTCTGTTTCTTCAGTTTTGATCGCCTGAGGTTTGATTGGTCTGTTGTTGTTGTTGTTGTTGTTGTTGTCGTCGTCCTCGTAGTCGTCGTTGTTGTTTGGGGGGATGCTGGAGACTGAGCCCAGGGTCTTCACACTAAGCTCTATCCCTGGCCCCTCCCCCTCCCCTTGTTGGAAAAAGGATCTAAGTCACTAAGTTTCTCAGAGGGGGCCTGAACTCGTGATCCTCCTCAGCCTCCAGGAGTGCTGGGACTACATACCTGTGCCACTATGGCTAGCTGCCCAATGTCTCCTCCCAGGTTTTCTGTTTTGTTTTTTTATATGCTTTTGCATTTTTCCAGTATTTTAGAAGTTAGAAATTAAGGAATTGAGTTTTCTAAAATTAAACTCAAAACAGCTCATTTACCGGTGAAATTAGTTTGAATTGCTGTATTAACACAAGGACAACTGTAGTTTAAGGTTAAGGGTATACTGAATGACTCTTGCCACTTACTGTGAAATGCATTTAATGGCTAAAGAAACTACTCAGAGCTACTTGAGTTCCTGAGCACATTAGTTGAAACTACTACAAAGGATTTTAACTGGAGTGTTTTTTTCTGTTTATGGGAAGAAGCCATGTCAGGTAAGACCAGCTAAGTGACTTGGAAACCAGAAACAAGATATGCCACCTTTCATTTGAGTAACTGAATTGTCTCATGGAGACTAGTGAATATACATTCACCATCTCATTATTGAGCAGTTGCTTATGGAAAACAGATTAATAATTGCAATTTAGTTTCTTGTAGGACTATTTCTCCGGACTTCACAAATTATCAGCACATTATGGCATCATGATGCCCTTGTTAATAATATGTGTAAATTGAATCCATATGGGAATGTTACAGAAGAATGTTACTTTAGAGCTGGTCCATTTACAATTGCATCCTTCTGCCCTGTTTGCATATTGCCTTGAGATTTAATAAAGGCTAAATTCTTTTAAGAACATTAGTTAAATGAAACAATTTGTGTATCCTGTCTCCTACTTGATGTTTTTTGCCAGATAAGATATAGCCCTTCAAACTAAACATCTTTCCCTTAATTTGCATTACACATATTTCAAAGTTGCTGTTATATTTATAGGAAGAAGCATGGAATTTCATCTCTGTCAAAAAATGAATCCTTTGGATTATAGTGGTGCATGCCTGTAATACCAGCTAGTCAGGAGGCAGGAAGAACAACAGTTTGAGGGCAGCTTGGCCAACTTAGCAAGACCCTGTCTCAACACTTTTAAAGAGCTGGGTATATAGCCCAGTGATAGAGTACTTCCTTAGCCTGCATGAAAAACTGGGTTCAATCCCTGTTATCCTCCCACCTAAATTCCATATCAAGAGCTATGTGGGCAATGTTCTATATCCTGTAGTAATGTCATTCAACTTTATGCAGAAAATGAGATCTGATTATATCTTGTTAGGCTGTTTGCTAAGGTGTTATATAATTTGTAAAATTTTAAAGAACAATAGAGATATTATCTGTAAATTTTTTTTTTTTTTTTTTTTTTTTTTTTTTTTTT